CAGCTTATCTGTTTATAAAAACATCACAGATATTATTTTTCTCATTTTTTTGGAACAGCTGCTCTAAAATCTGGCCTGCACTTTATAACAGAAATGCATTTCTGCAGGATAATTTTACTGGCAAGGGACTAGCTTTAGAGCCAAAAACTTCCCATTCAGGGGAATTTAAAAGGAATTGTTCTTGTGAGGTTTGCCAGGGATACACTGGAAATGCAATTACAAAAGATAAGTAAAATCAATAAAGTTCATGCTCTAGCAAGTTCCAGAAAAAATATTATTCTATCTGTAATAGAGAAAGCAGCATATTTACTTTGAAGTCATGATGAATGAATGTGAATTTCATTGTAATCTTGATCATCATATTTTTAGAAATATTGATTGCAAATTGGACCATAATTGCATAAACTACATGGGAAAGTTTAACATTGAGGATTACCATTACAGTATTTAATGGTGATTCAAAATTCCATATGCATTGTTTCTATTTGAATTCTTATTTTTAAGAACTCAACAAGACCTCATAAAATGTGAAACTGCATTTATCTTCAGAAATTTCAGTGAAGATTGAAAAATATATATACAGTAGGAAAGCTCCTATACAAATATTCTTCTAAATGCATTGTTGGCTCTGTTGTGCTCTGCTAATGGATAAGATTACTTGTCAGCAAACTTTGTAAAGAGGTGAGAATAGACTAGTCTTTTTAGAAGGGGGCCCCACTCCTTCCAGTTTTAAAAACGTGGAAAAAATTTTGAAGGGGACAGACAATTTTCAGAGCCACTGAATGGCGGGGCCGTCCTTGAGTGCGGGGCCCCCTCAAGCGCGGGGCCTGGGGCGCGGGGCCCTCTTGCCCCACCCTAGGGCCGCCACTGAATGGGGTTATGCTTACAGCAAAAGTTCTTTGAAGATGGATTTTGCTTTGAGCATAACCCCTGCAATTCAAATTTTAATCTGGAGGTTTGAAACACCAACCCACTGGTTTAAATCATCAATGCACACATTTTTCAACGTTGCATGTAGGGGTTTATGCTCAAAGCAGAATTTTGTTGAAATTGTGTCTGCTTTGAGCATTGCCCTCTTAGAAACTATACATTTTGAAAAAAAATCTAAGGAGTTAGGCTCATTTGGAAGCCATTTTGACCCTGCAATGCACACTTTCTGAGAAATTGACTTGAAATAAATATTTTTTGAACATTTTTGGGGGGAAATCCAGTTCAAAATCCGATTTCAAAGACAATTTACGCCTAAAATCTGAGAGGTTATTACGCTCAAAGCAACCCCAATTTTCAAAGATTTTTTGCTATGATCATAACTGCTTCAGAATAATTTTGAAACCCTAAAATCTAAGAGGATATGATGCTCAAAGCAACCCCCATTTTTTTCAAAGATTTTTTTTCTGTGGTCATAACTGTCTTAGAATAATTTGTAAAGCCTGCAATTCATGTTTCCTAAAAATATTGAGATGAAAATTTTCTTTGTAATTAGAGTTTCATCTGGATATCCCCCAAAAATTTTCAAATTTTCAGGTACTACTGAGGTACTAGTGTGCTGCAAAGTGTGGTTTGATACTTTCGTCATATAGGCAGTTAATTGTGTTGGGCCTGCATGACTTACTTTCTGAGTAGTTCTGATTATTTGATTGGATGGTTTGAGTTTCTCAGCATGTGGATTTATTATGTGGGAGAAGATAGCATTTTGATAGGAAGGAAAGTGAGTTAAGGGTAATGACAATTGTTAGAGGAGAAACAGCATCTCATGAATGATGTTTAGTGAATGGATATTGAGGAAGTTCCCAATTCATAGGCTTCAGCTGTGGATCAATTAGGCATAGCTCTCCTGATCAGGAATTGAACCTGACTACCTGAGTACTCATCAAGGCTGGGAGTATGATTTATCCCCTGCCCTAGCCTGCACTGGGTTGAAATAAGCTAGTCCAGTGATGGGAGAATTATGTGTGAAAGCCCGAGTATTGAGAATTCTCCCCCACAGCCAACTGTTGAAAATATTCGTTAGCCTCGCAAAAAAACGGTTCAAAAGTAAATCCCTGTCAAATACGTTACTAAAACGGCCCGGAAATTTGGCCCTTGTAAATTGGCTGGCGGAAGTCCTTTAGTCTAAAAAATTTGGCTGCAAGAGAATTAATTTATGCCAGGCAATGCCTGCCTGAAAGAATTTCCGGCGGAAGTTTTAGTATGCTCCAAAAAAAACGTCAAGGGTGCCCAGATCAGGCTCCAATTTGTCAGGCCCGCCAAAAAATGTTAGGCAGGAGAGTGATACACCCGCCAAGAGCGTTTGAGGGCATTGACACCCAGGGGTGTAGAAAATTTGGCGCGCGGAAGTGACAGGGGTGCGTTGTACTTTACAAAAATTTGTACTTAAGCTGCTCTGTCCAGAAAATTTCACTCATTCCTCCTTGAAACTTCATGGGCTCAAAAATTGTGTTGTGCATTTTTTTGTACGCGATTTTTCATATGTGCCTAGAAAATCAAAGTGTGTGAAAATTGTGAAGAGTGGTCTAAATACTCAGTTCTAGAAAATCATGTACATTCTCCAGACAGTTATTTCCTCTAAAATAATTTTGAAAGTAAAGTAAAATTCAAGAGGCCACAATATTGTTTGATTTTGTGTGATGTATGATTTGAACTGTGTATTTTTGTATTTATATTGTCTGTTTTTGTTTATTTTTTAGGCAGAAATGGTATTGTTTGTTTGATTGATCAATTGATTGATTGATTGAATTGGTTTCCTATACATGCATTTTGTGCTTGTGAGTAGAAGAAATTAGTGCCAGGTTTGTGGCAATAAAATATTGCACAGTATATACCTGACCTGTTATCCTTTTACTGAAACCGCAAATTACCGCCTGCTAACTTGAATTTCGAATTGGAACGGGATTTACAACCCCAAAAAGTTCCACCAATTGCTAAGAAAGAATTTCAGAGGCCAGTGGCCAGAAAACATCAGTCCACGGCTTAAAAATAAATATCTTGGAAGCTACCAACACCTTGACAGGTTGATGTACCTTTGCGTCTTTACACCCTGTCAAAGTAGATTGCAAATCTAACGCTTTCAATTATGTATGCAACTGTACTGTACTTCCCAGCATTATAGGCTTCCACAGCATGTTCAGCTTATTAGCTAATCCTCTGGCTCATGGAGGAATATGGGATAGGTATCATCATGAGTTGGGACAATTCATGCTTCCTTCATGTTTCATTATCCAATTTATAGTTGTTTAGTCTTTCTCATGTGATAGATTGCTCATTGGGTGGCTGGCTTATATTCATGCAACCAGACTCAAAAATGGAAGGTCTACACTGCTGTTGATTCTAACTTCAGCCGCTTCACTGAAAAATTTATTGGATTTATCTTATTTATTAACAGATTGCATGCATTGGGGCCAAGTCACAATTAATTGATGTCGTAATCTGTAATTGAATCACTGCATATACATTGTCAGGAAAATGTAAAGAAAACTAGCAGTTTGTATATACAATAAGCTATGGAAAAATGCCGCAGAAAACTGCCAATAATGGCACAATCCATCAATTGGTGGATGGCTGCAATGTTATAATGGTGGGTCAAGAATTTTTCAGAA